CTAGCCAGACGGGACTGTCCACGTCACCGCGCAGCCTTTCGATGTTGGATGATGTCGATGGTGAAGATGAGAATGAGCATGTCCAATGTCGAATAAGTTAGAAAATATATGAAAAAATGATTCCCTGTTATCTAATTAATATATTTTTGGATTCATTTTTAATGATTTTTATTCGGGGACTGAGGTTAAAATGTTAAGTGGCGAAGTAGCAGTGATTCTATTTTAATCAATCCTGAACTAGTCCAGGTTGAGCTTACAATGCTTCCTGGTGATTCGGTCGGTTGGTGGTTCTGTGTTGTGCCGGATAGCGTTATGCCTGGAGCTTTACAATGTTTTGCTTCAAAATCCGTGAAACATCTGGAAGTCAATACAGATGTGCATAAACTTCCCAATTCCGTTGCAGTTTCTGTACTCTTGCGTTGGCTTTCAAAGATTAAATCCACCAAGTCGTCGTCGTGATGTCGGCATCTTCCGTTGCTTCGGTTGTGGATCATAGTAGTAAGGGTGAGTTGGAGGCTCTGGCGAAATTATTTGTTGCGGATACCGAAATTTTTTTGAGTCAACAAACAAATTTTGACACATCCTCACTGCGCATGCGCAGAAATAATGCAGTGATGCCAGTTACTTTAGATATCACAAAAAATATGTACCATGGGTGCCAAATGAGTGAACCATGGTGTGCCCTAATGTGTTTTTGTCACACTGTGCTGAGTGACCTACCCCTTGGGATAAATCACACCAGCACCAGTTGAAAATACATCAACAGCCACAGCGCATTCACCAGCAGTGGACCATCAATGAACACATTATCAGAAAGCACACCCCCAGAAAATGACCAAACCAGCTCCATCCAGAGTGGGACTGGATATAGGAAAACACAAAATAACAGTGAAACGAACCATAGCAACACATAGGGGAAAAGTTGGCTTCGGCAATGCCTTAACCTATAACCTAGGACTTTGTTTACCCCCCTGAGGATAATAGGAAGGTATTGCCGAAGCTAACTTTTCCCCTATGTGTTGCTATGGTTCGTTTCACTGTTATTTTGTGTTTTCCTATATCCAGTCCCACTCTGGATGGAGCTGGTTTGGTCATTTTCTGGGGGTGTGCTTTCTGATAATGTGTTCATTGATGGTCCACTGCTGGTGAATGCGCTGTTGATGTTGATGTATTTTCAACTGGTGCTGATGTGATTTATCCCAAGGGGTACCCGGCGTTCATTTTCTGTTCTGGCAAAGCCTCCTCGAGTTCTTTCATATGAATTGCTACGGGCCTTCAGCCTTGAATGCAAGTTCAAATCTCGAATTGAGCGCGTTCAAATGTATCAATGAAATCAGGTTTCCAGGACGCGAAGGACGCTGATCAACATGTGTACCTTTGTCATTCTAGACATCGCCAAGGCGTACAACTGGGCTTGGACTTTAGACATTCTGGCGCAGCTTCCGGACTGGGGTTTGTCTGGCCACATAATCCATTTCTTCAGGAACTTTCTACGGCATCCTCTGTCCAAGTGTGCAAGCGAAAAACTTCCCCAAGGATATTTTCATCTTTGTGTGTGCCGATGGACTCGTCTTGGTAGCAAGTTCGTGTCACAATGAAGGTGTTACGCAGGAAGTTTAAGGCGGTCATAAATGCGGTTCTGCGGAATTCTTGTCAGTGTCTGCCATCGGGTGTACCCGGGTGTACTTTCGAGACCACCTCCATGAGGTGAGGAGGAGCTGCTACATCCTTTTTGCTAAGAGGCACCTCAAGAACAACCGATCCATCCGCATGCGCGGTCGCAGACTCTAAGCAGACTTGTGGAATTGAGCTAGCCCCAGCATAATCAGGCTGACATCCAGACTTGTTCACTCTACTCCTATGCCGGCGGCCTGCGTGGAAAGCGGAGACTAGGCTTTAACAAATATGTACATTGCAGCAACTGTGTGTAGGAGAGCTATCAGTTTCGCGGGAAAACTACAGAAGTAGATGACGGAGTGTGCCTCCTCGTGGAGGCGAAGCGAACAGGCTTCCCCTGATATCCAGGGTCCACTGGGTTGGATCCAGGGATTGGAACCTGCCCGGACTTTCAATCAACTTGGCGACAATCAAGAACTTTTTTCGGGCGGAAACAACTCTCTCGCACTGCTGAGATTAGTCGCAGATAGTGTTCCCATTTCCCGGACATTTTTGGCTTCCCGGGAAACGGGGAACAGCTAATGGCTCTTCCCGGGAAGTCCTGGGAATCAGGAAAAATTTACGCTAACTCTGGAGAGTTCCTTTTTACTCAAGATATTTCCGAATTCTCCCAGAGGTCTCTTCCAGATTTCCTATGAATTTTCATATGATTTCATCTAGAACTTCTTTAGAAGTCCTTGTGGCTTCCACAATAGCTTCATTTGACTTCCTCTGGAAGTGCAATTCAACTTCTTCAGCAAGTTTCTATTCAATCGATTTTAACTCCCCAGAAGTTTTTTCGACGTCCCCAGAACCTTCGTCTATTTGGCTTCGCATGGAATTGTCTTCTGACTTCCCAGGAATATTTTCCTGACCTGGATTCCTCTGGAAGTTTTTTTTTTTACTCCTTTGGTGAATGCAACTTTCACCCAAAAATCCATCTGAAATTGATTTCTTGGGAATCGGGAAACGTAATTTTTGCGGGAGGTCTCGGGAAGGAAACACTAGTCGTTAGTCACAAAGGAGCAAATACCAAGGTCACCAAATCCGTTACTCAGACGAATAAAGAGCCAGGTATAGAAATATCGGACTCAGAACTAAGCGTTTTCCATCGACTTCCGGATCCTTGATGTGTCTTCTCGATTGGTGTGGCCTTGATTTACCTACTAACAAACCGATTGCTGTTTTTACAGATCCAGATGGTGTCCTATCCGCACTCGGCTCTGAAAACATGGATCCAGTGGATTCATAAGCTCAAAAACATCTTCTATCTGAATACCGGAGCACTCTGGGATCATGGGCTGATCATCTCATGGCCTTCGGCAGGCAATATAGCTTCTACACCAGAGATGTCCCGGCCAAGAACCTGAAACGCTGGATCCTCCCGACCATCTGGAACTACTGTTCCACAGAAGGCTTCCATTCAAGAAATTTGTTCATCAGGAAGATCAAGGATACCCGGATATAGGAGGATCTACCGGAGCACCAATTCCAAATTATCTTATCCCGGTTACGCTCTGGACACATCAAAGCTTCCCACAACATGCGACACTTTAAACACGATGGAACACTACATATGCAACTTCCCCTTAATCCTGGGAACGCGCTCGTTATTCGGAGTTGCCGAAACTGTCCCTTGGAATGGAACCAAGTCGAATCGACTACTTTCATACAAGCGGTGACTACGACAACTTATCACAAGAAAAACGAACCACATCCTGGAACACTTACTCAGACTCCGGCAACGGACAAAGACATTGAAAATGAAAGAAAGACGATACTGACCTACGGTCACGTTGCTGAACCAGAGAAATTCAGAATCGTTTAGCAGTGCTCTACTATTTCCTTCAGATGGATTTAGGCAACGTGCTTCCCTTCGGTTGCCTGAAAGAAACGCACTTCATAGAAGTGGCTGATGGCGTGTCTACGAAATCAGGTCATGTCTGCCATTTACTTAAATTCCTGTACGTTTTAGAAATGGTCATCTAGGTGCTGGAACGATCGGTTCAACAAAGCTATTCAAGCGCTGGACTTCACATGGTCAAAACACGTCTACTCAAAGCCGTAGACAATATGTTTCAGGTATTATGGCACTACTCAAGCAATCAAAAAGCCCGATAAGGGCACTTTTAGCCATATAAAACTGATACAAAACTTGGAAGCCCTATATTAACCTTATATTGCAAAAAGGGCTCTTATCGGGCTATGAGCGGGTTTCGTGGTTACTTTGATAGGCCAGATGCCATTAGGCGAAACGCCATTTACATGCTAATGTCAAAAATGTTATTGAATCGAATTTTGAATAATTATCCATAGTACGTCTGAGTATGGCCCATGTTGTTGTACCCGTTCCGTATCCTCCTGAAGCTGGACAACGAATTTCAACAGTCCCTGTATTTGCAATTGATTGATTGATTGCCTCATTCCACAAGTTTAATCACGAGAATCTGTGGGGCGCCCCAAGTCGCTAAAGAGTCCCCGATAAAATAGTCAACATCATCGAATTACCGTACGACGCTTTAACGTGCAGAGTTTTGTATAATTGAGCCTTGTCCTACTCTATCTGGGTAGTGTTGAGTGTTAGGCAAGCATGTATACTATTACAACTACTATTCCTCACCGTAATCGTCGAGATCATGGCAGGTGCAGTTGATCGTGTTGGAGCATCTCAATGGCTTCGATTTGTTGGATAATGTTGATCTTCAAACACAATCCCCCTTATTCTGCGCCGCTAGTGAGGCGAGGTTACTCGCTGTCACTAGTGACTCTCCGTGCAAATCAAATGGAGAGTCACCTCACTAGTGACAACGAGTCACCTCACCTCACTCGCGGTGTAGAATAGGCCTCAATGGCACTCTGACATGACATGATATGCAGCTTAAGCTCGACAACCTAGCCTAACGTTCCTCCGCGCCAGGTTTTACTAACAATGACCAAATAACTGAATGTCAACAAGGACATACCTTTTAACTTCTACGGTATCTGAGCAAGCAGTAAGAAAATATAAAAATTTCAATACCTTTCACCATGATTTAAGAAGGCTGCTGTTGCGAGTTAACGAAATATTTGGAGATCATACCGGATGTTCACTGAATTTTTATACTGTTTGTTATCCTCACACTTGGATCTCGAATGCTTAGCTCCATCGCCGTTGTCATCAGAAGCCGATATCAAGAAAAAAAAAATCGAGAAAGTACGTGGAGGTGGCCTCCCTTAGGCCATTCGGTAAAGGCGCAGCTATAAAGCAAGACGCGGCTGGGTTCGATTCCCGGTCGGGCCCTGGCATTTTTGGGTTGAAAAATGTCTCGACTTCTGAGAATGATTTTACATGCCACACAACTGCCTTAGAAAATTCTCAATTAACAGCTGTGGAAGTGTTAAAAAAACACTAAGTTTTGAGGGTCGACGTTAAGTCCCAGTAGGGACGTAATAAAGCTAAAGAAGAAGAAGAAGAAGAAGTGAGTGTGGGTAGGCTACACACACACAATCAAGCGCACACGAACCCCAAAAATCGTTGTTCAAATCCGTGTTGGAATCCGCCTCTATGGCGACACCGATAGATTTTCTACTTTGGCTAGCTAGCAAATTGGAAATTTCCTATTCGACAAAACTGTTTTCTGCGCTTACTACAAATTCTAATTTATGTTTGACTTTTGGATTCCTTTACAACATTTACCTCCCTGGGTTCTCACTGGGACCCACTTCCCGTGGTCGTTGTGCAAGCCGCTACACTTACAACCGGTTCGCTCAGATGGGCTGTGACCGGTCATATGCTGGTTTGCAGCAGACCCCGTTCCAGGTTGAAGCACTCCAGCACTGAGGCACCGATCGAGCTACGCCGCGTAAGCATCGATGTAACGATCGTCCATTTGTTGAGCTTCGGTTCGTAGCGTTCGACGGAGTTGAGTGAAGAAGAACCATCGTTTCCGCCCAGGGCGTACAGATAGCCATTGGCCTCCACGACTTCGTGAGTCGATCTGTGGAAATTAGTGTGCATCGATCAATAATCATACGACTAAATTCCAGCTATCTACACAGAAACTCACCTTCTAGAGTGCATCGCACTGATCGGTTCCCAGCTGTTGGCCCTCAGATTGAACCTTTCTCCCGTTTGCATACACATGGTTCCATCGCTTCCACCTATGCAGTACAGATACCCATCTAGTGCTGCCACTCCGCAGCTGCTTCGCCTCGAAGTCATACTGGGTACCGCAGTCCAACTTCCAACCCGTGGGTCGAACCGCTCCACTGACGATTGATAGTTGCTCGAATCGAAGCCACCCAGAGCGTAGATACAATTGTCCAAAACAGCAACTCGACAGTACCGTCGCCTGGTGTTCATCGCTGGACAGGAAGTCCAAACCGCCGTCAACGGGTCATACCGTTCCACGCTGGCCAAACAGGAAGCACCATCATAACCTCCGCATACGTACAAGAGTCCATCGAAAGCACACGTTCCCAGACACGATCGCTTGGTACCCATAGGAGTTATGTTGCACCACTCGTTGGTCAATGGATTGTAACATTCTGCCGACGCCAGATCGTTTTCGCCGTCATAGCTGGAAGAGAAATCTTTCATTAAACCCTATCCCCTTAGGAAATCCTCCGTAGAAACTCACCCTCCAACGACGTAGAGCAACTTCCTTAAGGCCGTTACACCGGCCCGCGATCTCCGGGAGCTCATCGGTGAAATGGTCATCCAGGCGTTCGTCTTCGGATTATAGCACTCGCACTCGTTGTGAATGGCAAACAAACTTCCGCCTCCTACCGCAAAAATGTACTGCCGCATTCCCTCTGGACGCCTCTCCAGTGTGCGTTGAGTCACCAGCGAACTTCTCTGCTCCGGCAGGAGGTGATATTTCATGGCTTCCAGTAGGAGCTCCTTGCAGTGGAAATCTTCCCGTACCAGGGGCTCGGTTTCGACGCAGGACATCAGAAATTCCCGATTCACCAGTGGAAGCCGCACGTGGGACATCAGCTCCGAGATGTGCTTTTTACGCTCGCTCAGGTCGTGCTTGACCCAGTTGAGAACGGCCATGAATACCTTCTCCTCGGAACAGATGTTCAGCTGACTGTTGGAGATGAGATCTTGGACCTGTTGGATAGTGTTTAGAAGTTTTAAAATTAGAATTGTTAGGAATTCATTAACAGATAGGAACGTTCACAGGAATTCCCGAAATAACTAGTAGTTACGTTGATTTTTAGGTACATTGGTAGGTACCTAGCATTAATGTCCCTAATATCGACCTAAGTTTTCCTAATATTGGGCCGATTCTTAAATTTCGAGGGAATGTATTTATGTTTCACTAGTATCCAAAATATCAATTCGTATTGTCCAGATGACGCATTGTTCTGAGAAAAACCTAATCTTTAGATCCATAGGCCAACATTAGAGCTATTTCCTCTATATGGAATAAAGGCGCAGGCGGTAGGTTGGCCTTACATCTAATTTTGGGCCAACTAAGCACAACCCGCGCTTTACCTCTATTTTGGGAGCGGATTTGGTTTTCTCAAAATGGAATGTTTTCGCTGAAGATGACTTCTAAATATGTTTACCTTTCCGTACGTACCGTAAAATTTGGTGAAGAGTACCTAATTGTTGAAATATTGTTAAAAATCTAACACTGCTTCTTGACCCCAAACTCGGCCTACGGATTCGCAATTCGGCCTAACGCATTAAAACGCCATTGAATCGCCATTGAATTCGGTCTATCGGAAGAAGATAAAAATTGATTTGTTCGAAGCGCTTATGTTGCTTTTGAGAATAATGGGTGCAAACATTGATATCACGCGTTTTTATTTACTTCGTTCGGTAGCTTTTGAGAATCGTACCAAACACACACTCACACCAAACACTGAACGCTGAAATCATGGATTTATTTGATGTTTTCTACTCGATAGGCCTAAAATGGGCGATTATGCCGAAGTAGTTTTCTACCTTATTTGATTTCAGGACGCTGTTTGAAAGGACCATGCGTCTCCATAAAATGTCTTATCATGTAGGGAACGTCAATTAATTTGAGTAGGGAATGCGGCAGTGGCCAGTGGGTTTGAAATGGAAGTGCGGTTTTTGACGTAGGACTACGTCTGTAATTTCTATATGGGGGTACACTTTGTGAAAACCGAGAATGGAACTTGTAACAAAATTATGAAAGATTTTGAACGTTAATAACTCAGCTATCCCTGGACCAATTTCAATAATTTTATCTTAAACCGATCAGATATATTTCTACGCATCTGTTACATTTAAGACTTTATCATTTTTCAAAATGTAACTATTGAAAATTGCACGAATGTGCAACTGTTGCTATGATAATTAAAATTATCACCGATTGCCTGCGAAATTCAATTTCCCTAACACAGATTTCAAAGTTTAATTCCATCCGGTCTCACCAAACGGTGTTTATTTAATCAACGCGTGGTGAGTGGTGGTGTTCACCAGTACACAACGAAAGGCTGCCTGCAAGCAGCGAGCTGCAGCCCACATAAGCATCCATAGAAAGAGGACGAAGCTGCACCGCTATTGATCGGAATCATTAGCTCTTCGTGAGTCGCTGTGGGCAATCTATGTCAAGCGCGTAATACTAAAGAGCATAAACAGAGAGAACCCCACTCAAGTTCTTAATCCTACACAAAACACAAGCTCCTGCTGCAATTAACAAATAAGATTTATTTTATAAGACCACGTAGTCCTACGTCACCAATGCGTACAACCCCATAGGGCTGTCCCTTGTAGTTTTTCTCTTATTTTTCAAACTTCAAGTTGCTAACTTAACAGTGGTGCGGCGATGGGTGGGTGGGTAGGTTTCATACTCGCTTTCGATTTACTAAACGGGAATTGGAGAAAATCGTAGCAAGTTTGTGCGTTGGTGTACAAAGTTATAAATAAAACGCATGGCTTGCTTGAATACTCGAAAGCATAGAAAGAACACGAAATAAAAAAAAAAAGATAAAAAATCATTGCATCGTCTGCAATGCCAACTTATACCATTCTTTGTAGTATTCGCTGCGGATGATGATAGGAAATGTTAGTAACATTTAATATAATTTATTTTTGGGTTTGCGTGTACAATTCAATTTTATGCACATTTCAGAATCGGAAATGTGTATATAATCAAGGTATACTTGCAGTAATATTCTTTTGCAAACCCTATTTTGTTTGAAATGCCACAGTTAAATGTTTAGTTCAAGAATACTACACTCAAAATAATCGACACGTCAAAGTTACGTGAAAAATCACATAAGGTATCTCGTTTCCCTATTCTATCAGCTTTACGTGACTCACGTAGCATATATGTGATACCACTTGAATATTAAAGAAAATTTATGTTGAATACTCTAACGCTCCCAATGAAATTTACGTGATTTCCACATAGACAATTTCTATGTGCGTTTCACGTAAACCTTACATGGTTTCTACTTCTGAAAAAAAAAAACAGTGTGACACTCAGCATGGTGCACAACATGGCGGCTAGATACAGAGATGTTTTCGTTATTTTTATAAATTAATTTCAAGATGTAAGTATAAAATACGGGTTGTTTTTCCCCATTGTCAAAACTCACTTTATTATTTTATTATTTTTCACAGGTAGGTGGAAAGCAATCCAGCAGTTCCCCGCGGAAAAATAACTTGGATTATCACCAACCTTTAGGTTATCACCCTGCACCTGATTGGAATTATTAGTGTTTCATCGGATTTCATTGCGACTTTTTTATTGAATAAAAGGGCATTAGTCTGATATGTTGTGAAAATTCATTATAATAATAAAAAAAAAGTATATAACTATCGCCAATAACAATAGTACTTAAAACCACCATGACATTCATTAGCAAAATCACGTAAGTTATATGTGATACTCATGTGACGTTGATGCTTGACGAAATGAGTGCATCTATATGAGAATCACGTAATTCTTACGTGAAAAGTACGATGGAAAAAATCTACGTATGTTTTCACGTAGCATTGACGTGAAGATTATTTTGAGTGTACAGTTCGGCCAATCTGTATGCGAGAAGGTCGTCCCATGCCAGCAAACATCCCAACGGTACTCTGAAACCAGTTTTGAAAGCGGTCACCGTCGATTGTCCTTTATATAAGGTCCGGGCCAACAGGCTTATTGGTGTTAGTGAAATGTGCAAATGTTTAGTGGTGTTCGTATTTCATTGCACTCAGCAATGTTTACCATATTTTTGCTTCTGACACCAGCAAACTGCCTGTTGGCCTTATATAAACGTTATTGGTCACCGTCAAGGGCGTAGCCGAGTTTCGAGCTAGGGAGGGACGAAAAAAAAATTAGTATGGAAAATTTGGCCAAATGCCATTTCAACGAACGCCATTTCACCGAAAGCCTTTGTGTTGCTGAGTTTAGGGGGGCAACTTCCCTCCTTTGGCTACGCCTATGGTCACCGTAGTCGACACATTTTCTGTGATAATTGACTGCCTTTGCGTCCGACACTTGCAAAACAAGCTATCAAATTACAGTACCAAACTAAAATGTCATATGACAGGATCTGTCATTCGGCACTGTCGCCGAAGACGGTCATTTTAGTTTTTCTCATACTAAGAGTTGCTGATGTTGTGCTTATGTGAATTCTGAAAGAAGCAAGCAACGGTATCCTAGTAATATCATTTATGATCAGAAATGGATTAATTTACACAGGAATTAGAACAAAATCACACATGTCATTTTAATGATAATATTATATATTTTTTTTGCTCAAACGATGTTCTACCGTTTGTGTTATGTAAGAGAATCAACGGTAGAGCATGAGAGTACGAAAAGTACGAAAACAAACTGTCGGGCACGACAAAGAAGCGAGTGTAGTAAAAAAGTCAACTGTTTCAACCCCTGGCTGAAAAAAACCTGGTTGCCAAAATCCGTGCTTAGAAGCTGTACCGAGCAAGTCATGATACCGATGTATTTTGATGGAAGATGAAACCTACGTAAAAATGGACTTTTGACAAAATCTGGGTCAAAAATTTTACCTTGCCAAACGGTGGGGGGGGGGGGGGTGCTCCGGTTAGGCTCAAATCTGTCTTTGTAAATAAATTCGGTCGCATGTTGATGACTTGGCAAGGTATCTGCAGTTGTGGAAAGAAAACAATGAAATAATTTCCTCAGTGGAGCGTCTATGAATGGACAACTTTACAAGTAGGAATGTCCCCAGAAGAGAATTTTGCCATTCATTCAGCCACACGAAGGTCCCGTAAAGTTCTGGCCCGACTTAGCCAGCTGTCATTACAGCAGAGATGTCATTGACTGGTATAAGAAGAATAATGTCGATTTTATTGAAAAAAAAGTATCAATCCACCAAATTGTCCAGATTTTCGTCCCATCGAAAATTTTTGACAATTATCAAGCGTAAATTGAAGGAATGTGGTAAAACAATCAAAACACCATCTGATTTAGATAAGTGGAGGAAAGAGATGGCAGATAAGGTTGACAGTACTACCGACCGGTGGAAACTAACGATTTTAAATTGGCTAACTACTTGACTAACCTATTGATCCTTAGTACATCCATAGAGGTAACTCTAAGACCAGAAGGTCCCGAAGAAACGTGCACAACTTTTTGGCTCAGCACTGGTATTATCTTCGGTCCACAGCTAATCGATGCACCCCTCGAAACATAGGAAAATCCACGAACCCCTCATTTTATCTGTCAAACTTTCATAGCAAATCAAAACAAACATAGTATAGTACTAGAATTTTGACTAGAATGGGGTACGTTAATCGATTTGCTTGGGACCAAAAGGCTAGTCAAGCAGTGAGCAAATTTAAAATCGTTAGTTTCCACCGGTTGGTACTACTGTGCAAGACATGATGGGAGGTTTTCTTTTTCCCTTAAAGCAAAATAAAAACCTACCAAATGATACCCTTAGCGTTTTTGTATATTTTTTCTTTTTGGAGAAATGACCCAAATGTGACAAAAAGAGATGAACTAGCCTCAGGCTAAAAATCTCTAAAATAAAGATTAAAAAAAAAAAAAAACAAATGTGACAAAATTCTAAATGCAACAGGCTTTAGAAACCGTTTTTGCTTACTGAACAGAAGATAGGTACACCAACATTCAATGCAACTTGAACCAATAGATC